GTCATGTTTAAAGGCCAACACTCTTTTTTATTTCCATTAACTTCTGGGGTTCCTCAGGATCTTTGGTCCTGTTTTGTTTCTTATCTACATTAATGATCTTCCCGACAACCTTACATCTAAAGTAGCTCTTTTTGCTGATAGCTCAACCTTATACCTCTGTCTTGACAAAAAATCTTCTCTTTTCAATCGCTTAGAACAGACAGCCAATCTTGAATCTGATTTCACTCCTGCCATTTTCTCTCTCCTGATTTCATTCACTACCTCTACAAATCTCTTATTCCTCCCTGTTGTCATATACTGCTAAATTAGGCTATATGATATTTAATTTTGGTAAAACTAAAATCTTAAATATAGTTGCAATAGGAACCAAAAAGTTCGGTCAAATCTGGTACCAAAGCCGTACTGAATCTTAGTTTAGTTAAAATATTTTTTTTTATTACAACAAATTGTATTTCCTTATTTTAATTTAACAGTTTACTTTTAAATTTGTTTAACGCAGTTACAACAAACTTTTTTTATATAAAATTGCAATAAAAATTTTTTAAAACTAAAATTAATTTAATTTACATCATTTTAATCACAATAATTGTAAGAAAAGCTAGAAAATTTTTTACAAGAATACATTAATTGACATTTAAAAAAAAAAAAAAGCAATTCAAAAACTTTATTAACTAGTATGCTTTTTTTTTCTTCATCAAATCAAGTAGATGCGTTTTTTTTATAAGAAACCAAGTGAATGGGCTAGTGCCAGAAATTTTATTCTTATTTTTTCCAAATTTGAAGTTCTAAAAATTTTGATGAGTTTTTTAAGATTCATAGTTCAAATGGAATTCTATTCAATTACGCTTGCAAATAAAATACTCTTTTAAACTTTTAAACTGTTTTTCTGCATTAAAATAGATATTGCATAGCTTTAACTTTGTGTTGTGTAGATGATAATTAATATTGCACTATGTTTTTAGTAGAAATATTCCTTTAAATCTTAATGAAGTACCTTTCTTACTAAAAAGTAATTTAGTAATAATAGCTGATTATTGACTAATTTTTTTTGGTATTCAAAATATTTCAATAGTGGTATATACCATTATTGTGCAGTATTTATATAAAATCATCAAATTCAGCCGAATAGAAAATTTAGATAAAACATTTTACAGATCTACTTTTTTTTTTTTTATTTTTAATTGATTATTAAAAAACTTCAAGAATTCAACTCAGTACTTTAATATTTCAAAAAATAGTATTTTAAAAATATATATTTATTTAACATACCGAAATTCATTTTGGTTCAAAATTTAGTGGAAAAAATACAAGTACCAGAAAATGTTATCACGCTTGATGTTGCCATAGGCAACATAATTGTTTTGAGAGCAGTATCAGTCTCATTTAAATTTGATTTTCTTATTCTAAATTACTAAATTTGAGTTACAACAAAACCATTTTTGTTATAGATTGTTGAAACTGTGTTTTCAGGTTATTATTGGCTTCTTATAGGTTAGGTTATATCAGGTTATCATTCCTTCTTTAGAAACTTCTTCATTCTGTATTTGACATCGATACTATCTATCACAAATTTCTTATCAGCTGAGTCTTTATTGCCTCACTAAATCTTTATTGCCTCACTCATCATATTGCTTTTTGAGTGAATCACTGCACTAAATTGTTAGTTTGCCAATAAAAAAAATTTAAAAACTTGTGAACATCTTCACTCGTTAAAATTGTTCATCTTTACTAAGTTACTCTCTAGCAGCAAGTAGGTTTTAACAATTTTAAAATAACTTGCAAGGTTTTAATTTTATCAATCTTTACATCATGGGTAACAATGGATTCCATTTAGTTTTAATGTTGAGTTTTGGCATTAGTTTTTTTACAAACAGTTGACAATTTGAAATCAGTTTCTGTTTAAGTTGTCTTATTCGATAAATGATATCATTAAAAATGTTTCATCACAATCTGAATCTGAATTGTTATATGCGAGTATAATTCTGATCTGTAAATATAATGTTATCATTATATTCTGATCAGAATTGTTTGCCTTGTTACTTTTATCAGCATCTTCTTTATTTGATTCATCTTTCAAACAAGTTGGGCTTTTGTAATATGTAATGTTTTGCAGAAAACATTGGTTACAGATAAACGAATACTATGATTATGACACAGTTGACTCTCTGCAGAAATTAACCGACCAGGAAATAAATGTCCATATTTATGCATTACTACAACACTGTCAATTTTAATGAGCTCCAATTTAAGTAGTTTTGTTGTGAATAGTTACATCGACATACCTTTTATAGTGATGTCAGTCCATTCATCAGCTGTTATGTCGAACTTTTCACCAAAATTTTTCCAAAACAAAAACTTTTTCACGCATTTTGTAATGTGAGATTACTAATTTCGCAATTGGTTTGACTTTTTGCTCTTAGAAAACCTAACCTTTGTATCAAATTTTATAATCATTCTTAAAAACCTGCCATCCTTGGTGGCACATTTTGCCAATATATAGTTATATAATTATATATTGATATTAAATTTATATAATTCAATACATAATATAATTTATATAATTCAATACATAATTAATATAATTTACATAATTCAATACATAATTAATATAATTTGTATAATTCAATACATAATTAATTTAATTTGCATAAGACTATTCCCTAGCTATTCCCTTTAAAGTTCTTGCACAAGCAAAAAATCTTCTTTTTGGAGAAATACCTTTAAATAAAAAACTAGAAGGCCTTTAAAATAACTAAAAAGAGAACTGGTGCATGCACTGATGCATTGATTAAGAGAGATATGACACTAGAGCTATATGACATATATTAACACTATCACATATCAAGGATCAACAAATAATTATTGCAGAATTAAAAAAGACACCCGCCATTGTTTGGAAAAGTGTCTGTTAGACTTCAAAAAGTCATAGGCTTATTATGCTGCATGCCAGCCCAAAAACCTGGGTAAAGCTGTTATGTTTAAGAAAAGAACTGCATTCCTGAACTGATGGCAGAAATAAAAAGAGTTTGGATTCAGGAAATTTCTCTCTAACACTTTCAAGAACTCTCTGAAAAAAGGCGGAAACTTATTGAAATGATACTTAAGAATAAAGGTAAAAACTAAACTACTAAACTAAATCTTAAAATCTAATTTTTGTAGATTGGCTACCCCTTTAATTTTGTTGTTTTAAAAAATTAAAAATTAAATCACATGTCTGCAAAATTTCTATGCTAACTTTACTTTCATATTTTTGATAATTATACTATGGATGGTTCTCATGTAGTGAGACCAGATGTGCTTGAACCTTTGCATTGTATAAAAAAATTGCAGAGTACATTTTGCCTCACAAGCCGAATCATTATTTTATAAAATACTTCCAGACAGTAGAGCTTTGTTTTTGCATTTTGTGATTTGGTGACTTGACTTCTATTGGTTAAATATAAATGAAATAAAGTGAAATAAAAATTAAATACATTGCAAATAAAATTACATTTTTTACTACTCATATTTGCATTTATAGTATGCAAAGACAACTCAAATTTTTTATAGTATGCAAAGACAACTCAAATTTTTTATAGTATGCAAAGACAACTCAAATTTTTTATAGTATGCAAAGACAACTCAAATTTTTTATAGTATGCAAAGACAACTCAAATTTTTTATAGTATGCAAAGACAACTCAAATTTTTTATGGTATGCAAAGACAACTCAAATTTTTTATAGTATGCAAAGACAACTCAAATTTTTTATAGTATGCAAAGACAACTTAAATTTTTTATAGTATGCAAAGACAACTCAAATTTTTTATAGTATGCAAAGACAACTCAAATTTTTTATAGTATGCAAAGACAACTCAAATTTTTTATAGTATGCAAAGACAACTCAAATTTTTTATAGTATGCAAAGACAACTCAAATTTTTTATAGTATGCAAAGACAACTCAAATTTTTTTTGATAATATCAAGTATTAAAAAACATAATTTTTTATTTTTGTTATTTACAAGAGAATAATATTGTTATGTGTATTTAAATAGATATAATAATTATTTAAATATATTTATTAAAAACATTTATTTAAATAGATATAATGAATATTACAATCAAACATATCTATATAGTGCTAGAAAATTTGCTGTTTCTAATATATCTTATGGTATATATATTTAATCTATCTCATTGTATGCTTCTCATATATCAACTCTTAAGTTTGGTGCTATGGCTTATATATACATTCAAGAATTCCTTTGTGTGAAAATGATGTTCAAATGAGTTGTAGTGTTGCTAATGTTATTGTTAACATTTATTCAAAAAGAATTGTACAAATTGATCAAAGGGAATTGTAGAGTCATCATTAGTACATTCTACTTTTAGTATAGTGCAAAAAGTAGAACGCACTAAATGCTTGCTTGCATAGATGATTAAAATCAGAAAGAGTCATAAGAAAGAAAGTTTTTAATAACAGAGCCAAATGTGGAATTGCATTAATTGAACAGTACAACGACTTGATTACAAAGGATGAAGAACAATATTGAACATAAGAATATTAAAGTAAAATAATTAAAATTAAATAATTGAAATAAAGCATTTAAAATTAAATATTGCATAAACATTTAAAATAAAACATTTAGGCGTAAAATGAAACTTTTAGAAAATATTTTTTTTTACATTTTAATTACATAAAATAATGAAAAACTTCTAAATATCTTAATTTCAAATTTTAAAATATTGAAAATTTTTGGCAAATTTATTTTGACTTACTACAGAATGACAAATTTATTTTGACTTACTACAGAATGACAAACGGCAACAGAATATTCTTTTTGTAATGATATCTGTATCAACATAATTTTTAATATTAATATTAATTTTCATTTTTAGTGATAATATATGAATAAATCAGAGTAAATGATTATATTTGTGTTATGTATGTTAATTTGTTATGTAATTTCAATATTAGTTTATTTTTTACATTAACTTTTTAGACTTTTTTTTATATTTAGAGTCTCCTTTGGAATTTCCTCTGAATAACTCAAATGAATCAAACAACAAGAAACCATTTAACTTTTCTATAGATGACCAAGAACCTTTTACACCAATAAGTAAGAATAGTTGCTTGTAATATTTTAATTGTTTAAACATCAAATTTTACAATGTCTTTGTACTTTGTCTTGTACTTTTCTTGTTGAAAACAATTAGTAATGTTCAAAAAAGTTATTGAAAACAAATAGTAATGTTCAAAAAATTGTGCAATATAATGGTTAATATGATATGATTATTGATTTAGTAAGGCAACATAACGGTTTTTTCTATTATTTAACTGCTTTAATAATTATAAATTGTTGTAATTAATTTTATTAACTATGAAAAATCATTATTAGATATGTTATAAAAAAAAATTTATTGTCATAAACTTTATTTTATCCATCTATATCATGTATAGAACAATACATTTTTGTTATAGCAACCAAAACACCATACGTAGTTAATGAATCAATTCAAATTAACAGTATACCATTACAAAGCTCTTCACCAACTAGTGATGAAATATCTCCTGATAATATTGATCCCCAAAATCCATTGACTGATGGAAATGATAACAATAGTCAATCAAATGAGTCAAATAACAAGCAACCAGGCAACTTTTCTTTTGATGTTGAAGAAACTTATAAGTTTGGTAACTAAATTGGTCATTAATTTATTAATATCATGAAAACAAGTTTTATTTTAAACAAGCTTTATTTTAATGATGATGATAATAAATTTTATTTTAGAAACAAAAATACCAGATATATTAGAGGAACCAAAATCACAGGGTAGCAATATGCCGTTTCAAAATCCTACACCAGTTAGTGATGAATTGTCTCCTTGGAATGGTCTTATTTATCCTCAAAACTCATCAAATATTGGAGATGAGCTTAAAAATCCTCAAATAAATGGGAATGCTTTATCCAACAGCTCTCTTAATAATGAATTAATACCTACTGAATCTCCAAATAACCCAGGAGATAAGTGTCAATCTAAAGTTTCTGAAGATTTACAAAAGATACCATTTCCAACAAAAACTGAATTACAAAACTTTAAACCTGAGAATAGTTTAAGTATGCAAATTTTTTCTTTATATATATAAATGTGTGTGTGTATTAAACCAATATATTGCTTATCAGGTACATTCTTAGAGGAAACAACACCTTTATATACCACGTTTTTTGATAAACATTTTTCACTCATTGGACAACTTTTTTTGTTTTGTTTACAGTTACAATTTTCTGTTGTTTTTTCAAGAATTATAACTTAATGTTACAAGAATATATACATATCAATCGCCTTTGAGCCTGTTAAAAAAATTCCTTAGACAAGCATTTTCTTTATGTTGCCATACTAGCTATCCATTTATTTATTAGAACTTTATTTATTTGATAAAAATTTAACAAAGAGCTGAAAATGTTTTTATTGCTTATAAAAAATATTTTCTTACTCTAATAGAAAGCAGGATGTTTTTACAGCAAGGAATTATTACAGCAGTTACAGATTTCACAATAATAATGTTTATTTATGTATATTTTTTTAGCAGAACATATAGTTGAACATTAAGTTTTTCTATTTTAATCAAATTGAGACAAATTTATATAATTTATCATAATTAATATATAGAAAATATAATTCATTACATAATATAAAAAATATTATGCAATAATATAGTGCATAATAATTTTATTATATATATATATATATATATATATATATATATATATATATATATATATATATATATATATATATATATATATATATATATGTATGTATATCTATATATATATATTCAAAAACCGTTTATATTTCCAATTATAATCAGCTATTTTAAAATACTCTAAAATGTTTTGAATAACTATAGCTTGATCTTTTCCTTTAGTGCTCTCTACAGCTATAATTCCAAGTAGGCGATCATCTTTAGTATTAAATTCAGGGCTGGTAACACATATCGCAACCCATTTTCCTTTTTTAACTATAATTTTTAACTTTTCCTCTATTGCTCTTACCAATTTAATGTCAAAGTGATCAGATTCTCGCCATAAACATTTCTTCATAAAGGCTTGATCTGATGGTGGCTCCTAAACTAAAAAAGATTTTTTTTCTCTTTATAATCATTTTTTTTTATTTTATTATAAATATTTTGAATGTAAAAATAATTTACCTAAATTTTCGATATATTTGAATTTACTTCTAGCTATTGAGCTTCTAGATGAAAATTTCCCTCTAAAGTTTTAACAACAATACATTCCTAGAAACATTGTTTGTGAGCGAATGCTAATTCCTAATCTAACTCTAACAAGTGTTGTAGCTAATATAAGCTTATCTCTGTCATACTCTATTGCTATTTCTGAACAGCCGGACTTAGATTTTTTGATGCTTTACCTTTATGTATGTCGGAAGCTGATTTTCACCAGTTACTAGTGGTAATGGTTTCAAAATTGAAATCATTATCACTAGCAACTGAAGACTGGTGAACCGCAGAACCTAAGTAACAAAAAGCTTTTATGACTTACTAAAGTGAATAAAATAAAAAATATTATAAAATATATTTAAATATTATATAATATATTTAAAAGTATTTGGATTAAATATTAAGATATAATTTATCTGATCCTTCAGATTCATCTGAGTCATGAGAGATCACTTCATCCAATTCTAAATCAATTTTGCAATCCAATTTAAAACTTTCTTTCATTCTGCATTTTTCTTCATAAGATCTCATTCTTTCATATCTTTTAACTCTCCTTTCAACTCTTTGTTTCATATCAATGTCATACTTTTCACTCATCACACCTCTCCTCAATGTTCTTTGATCTTGAAGAAAAGTCAAATCTTCTATCACTGCAGCTTTCGATCTTGGCATATCTTTATCTGATTTTATTTTTGCTTCTATTTTTTTTTGAGAAACAAATTTTCAAGAAGTTCTTCAAACTGATTCTCGTGTTTTTTTTGGTAACTATGTTCCAGGCTAAATAACTTGTATTTAGTATTGAAATGTACAATTTATTTAGTTTAATAAATTTTTGCACAATTTGTACTTTATATAGTTACTGAAATTATATAGTTTCCAAAGCCAGCATATTTCCATATTTTAACAATTTTTCTGAGGCAGCATATCTCCATATTTTTACAACAGAAATTTTTATCATGGCAAACCATATCCCTATTCCCACTCTTTGTTTTGCATAAAATATTTCTTGAGTAGACTTCAACTTTTTACTTTTTTCTGTAGTAACATACTGATAATATCGTAGAACTGTTCCATTTGTTGGAAGTTGATGTTGGGGGAAAACTAAAATTGGAATTCTGAGAAGGTAAAGTGGTTGTCGTGGGTTTAAATAAACATTATAGTTCAATTTTTTTATTTTAGTAATCTTTCTTTTCCCCATATGTGATAAGAAATTGTTATAAGTTTTAATTATTTTATAGTTTTCAAAAACTAAACTGCTTAAAAGATTCTTTTGTCAAGAGTAACAATTCGATTAGTTGTTTTTTTTATCAGAAAAAAATGGTTGGTTTAAGTTTGTTTACACTTTTTAAATAGGTTATCAAGATTGCCACTTTAAAAGTCAATATTTTAGATAAGATAAAATTGATAGATCCAAAAATCAATAATTTAAAAATAGCTTTTAATCCAGAAAAAAGAAGAAAAAAAAGAAACAATCAGTACCCAAATTATCGGTGTTTTAAAAACACATTAATATATGTTGTTTTTAAAATTTTCTTATATTTGGAGCAGTGATCCAAAAGTTTGTTAATATACTACTAGTTGATCAGTTACCACTCTTATCTTAATAGCTTACAGTTTTTTTTAAAAAAAGATTACAGATGTCTTTTAAACTGTGAAAAACAACAGATAATAGAATTGTTAAAAGAGTAAGTTTTCATTTAGATGCAGCAGAAATATTTAAGTTAAGAAAATCTCAGAACATTTAATAAAATCCGATTTTTTAATTTCTACAGTAAGCACTTGGAATGGTCTTGTACATCTTTTTTCAATAATAGCGGTCTTCTATAATTGTATTGACAAAGAATTTGATGTGTACAATATATAATATATATATATATATATATATATATATATATATATATATATATATATATATATATATATATATATATATATATATATACATATGTATGTATGTATGTATATATGTACAATACAATATTATATAAAGTTGTTTTATTGTATATAATAAAAGTATTATAGTTGAAAGCCATTTTTAAATAATAAATAATAAAAGTAGTTCCTCTCATTAAAAACATTTTTACAGTTTGTAGACCAATAATAGTAAAACTATTATTTTTTATTTTTTTTTTCTTGGCTTTTCTGCTGTAACATATTTGTTTACCACATATTCAATATTTTTGTATTTTTTATTAAAATATAAATTTATTATTAATTACTATTTCTTTATTTTATCTAAAGAAAAGTTTTTTAAATTTTAGAAAGTTTTAACGATGAGGGATTAAGAATCCACAATGCTCTTCGGCGACTTCACTGGGTTCCTTCCTTACACTTAGATGAAAAGTTATCCCAGAAAGCATTTGAACTAGCTCAATCAGTAGCTAATGAGATATCAGAAACTAGCAAAAAGAAGGATACAATATCACTAGACTTTGGGTTTAACATCATGAAAAAATGTTCCCCTAGTCCAATACCATTATCAGCTGAAGAAGCAGTTTTTAGCTGGTAAGTTAGAAACAAGTTTTTAGCTGGTAAGTTAGAAACAAGTTTTTAGCTGGTAAGTTAGAAACAAGTTTTTAGCTGGTAAGTTAGAAACAAGTTTTTAGTAGCAAACTATAACACCACATAAAATTGTGCTTTTCAAATGCTATTCAAATCTGTTGAATAAGTTGTTTTATTTTGTTCAAACTTTACTGAAGCTGATATACTTTTTGAATATTTTTGTTTGCATATTTTGTGTAAGTTGAGTATTTATTTCATAATTTAAAGATTTTTTTTTTTTTTAGTGTAAAGATATATTTTCTGTCATCATAAGCGAACAAATAATTTTTTCTGCCATTATCAATAAATAAATAAATTTTCTACCATTTCAAGTGTGGAGACCAATTATTAATGTTATAATCATTCTCTATAAATCTCTACTTTGTATGAAATACTGTTGTCATATATGGGCTGGTTAAGATAGCTATTATCTTTTATTCATCGACCTCCATCATGTGTGACTCATCATTCAGCTAGGGTGCATGGTTTATTTTTGTTTTTTTGCATTGTTCTTTAATGCTCAAAAATAAAACTTTGTATTATTTTTTCCTCCCACATAAATGTTATGAATTTTTCTTCTTAATGTTTTACTTACTCAAAAAGTTTACATTTTTTTAAGTTGTTTTTAGTTGAGTTCTTTTGTGCTTTTTGTGCTCTTTAACTTTCTTCTTTGCTGTCTGTACTTCTTGTCTGTCTGTACTTCTTGTCTGTCTGTACTTACTCCCAAACTCTAACATAAAAAATTGATTGCAGCCTTGTTTGGAGTTTTAAAAAAAAGCTCTAATTCTGTTTGTAAGTAAGGAGTAATTACAAACAGAATTATGTTGTAAAATTTACTTACAAACAGAATTAGGTTGTAAAATTTTTTAAAAACTAGTCAATAATAAATATGTTTAATTTTAAATTTCAAGTTTTTTAAAATTATTTTCTAAACATTTCTTATTTTTGTGTTTATTTATAACAATATATGTTATATATTTTTTTAATAATTTTTCTTTGTTGATGTGTTTAATTATTTTTATTATTTATTTTTTTATTTTAAGAATTTAATTTAAATTCAGTATTATTTTTGTTTTTTAATCTCAAATATTTTGATGTTTTTTCAAATTTCTTTTTTGGTTGTCTTTTAATCTCAAATATTTTAATGGTTTTTCGAATTTTGTCATTGTATATCAAAAATCTATTTACTCTGATGAATTTAGTACATTAATTATGTAATATACAAATACAGTTATTTAATGCAAACTTAAAATTATTTAGGTGGAGTGATGCATTCTGTCAAGATAAGGCTTTTGATACAATGATTATGAGCTCTGGCACACAAGTTGTATGGAAAGCTACAACAAAATTAGGCATAGGACATAAAGAATTTGTATCAGTAAATAAATATATTTTTTAGTTTTTCTCTTTGAAAATTATATATATATATATATATATATATATATATATATATATATATATATATATATATATATATACAGGGCTTAATTTAACAGTCGGACATCGGACATTGTCCGGCTAAAACCTCAGATTGTCCGATCAATTTACAAAGTCATCTGACATTTTGTCCGGCAAGATTTTTAATTCTTTAAAATAAAATTTTATTTGTTGATTTGAAATTGACAAATTTAAACTTAATGTTAACTATTAGACAAACTTATAAAATGTTATTAATTGTAGTTTTAATGACTGTTCTTTAACAGTTTTATTGTTATATTATTAAATTTAAAATTATTGCTTATTTAAAACGATCGCAAAAGTCAAAGTATGTTTGATTGATTACTGCAAACGTCGTGGACACCGAAAAGCAAAGAAAAGCTAACCGTTTGAAAAATTTGATAATAAAAGATTTTACAAATGTGTTTTTTTAGAGGCTGAGATCTCATCGATGGAATATTTTTAAAAAAACATTAAGAAAATATACATTTAAATATTAAAGTTATAATCATCCAAATCATTCTATTTTAGCTTGAGCGGTTTCTCGGTGGCATCCTGGTCCTACTCGAGTTTTCCGATTCTTTATTTATTATTCGTTTTTTAAACTATATCTTTATTTGTATTTTTTTTCTTATTATTTATTTTATATATATATATATATATATATATATGTATATATATATATATATATATATATATATATATATATATATATATATATATATATATATATATATATATATATATATATATATATATATATATATATATATATATATATATATATATATATATATATATATATATATATATATATATAAAAGATTAAAAAGTTCTAGCTTTATAAAACTTGTCTGCCAAAGAAGGAGTGCCTTTTTGAATAGTAGATAAATAATAACCTGTAGAACTCATAAAATTTTATATATGTATATATATTTATATATATATATATATATATATATATATATATATATATATATATATATATATATATATATATATATATATACACATGCATACATACATACATACATACATACATACATACATACATACATACATACATACATACATACATACATACATACATACATACATGCATACATAGGATAGTATATATATATATTAGTATAGTATACATTTTACTGAAAAGAGATAACTACTGGAGCAGAGCATGAATACAAGCCCTGCTATTTGCAGTGTAAGCAGGTGATTATATTGCACATTTTATGTAATAGTTAAGTTATTTTATTTAAAAACTTATTTTAATGGATTCTAAAAAGATTTGTCAAAGTTTGTAGAGCAACATTGTTAGAAAGATTGTTCCAAGGACAAACAATGATTCAACATTTATACTCATATAAGCTGTATAATTTCCATAGTTTATTGTTTCTACTGATAAATGAATTTTTAATCCATTCTAAAATGTTATTAGCTTTAGATGCAATTTCAGAAGCGTATGTGTCCTACTCGCCATTTGACGTAATGGTAATTCCCAGATCATGCATCTTTTCAGATTTCAAAATATTTATGGTAGTTGAAGTGGGAAAACAAAATAGAATCGAAAAGAAAGATTGAAAAACAGATTATATTAAATTTTTTTGATTGAAACGTTTTTTTGGGATTAATATCAAAAATTAATTTTAGGGAATTAATTCGAATGAAAAAAGAAATCAAAATTCATTTAGAAGGAAAAATGTCAAAATTGCCTATATGAAATAATATTGAAAGAGGTAGAACATGTGAGAAGTGTTGCTACATTAACTGACAAATAGGTAGAACATGCAAGGAGTGCTGCTGCATCCACTGAGGGTTCAGTGTTGGCAGACAGTCTATTAATTAAAAAAAATTTTATTTTATTTTCTATTTTGAAAAGTCCCTTTTTGAGCTTATTCAGTTTGGCTGTTTTTGATACTATTTCTACTACTTTTTGAAGTTGCAGCATCAAACATGAATTAATTTTTTGAGCTTTTTTTTTACCCATATGCAACAATTTGCATTTTTTGTGGTTTAGCATTCAAATCTGTAGCTTGTCCCAATCTGAAGCATCTTTAATTTTGCAGTAATCCACATACAACTTACATGGGAAGTAATTGATCACTGACAGTAAATCTTTTATATAAAAAATGAACAAAAGTGGACCCAAGACACTGCCTTGTGGTACACTACTAGTTATGTCTGCCCAACTGGACTTGCACTTGCTGATAATAACTTTCTGCTTTCGATTATTAAGAAAGTCACTAATCCAGCAAAGCAGTTTTCCAGTGATACTAAATGCTTCTAGTTTATGCGTAAGGCGTTGATATGGCACAGTATCAAACACGTTGGCAAAGTTTAGAAAAGTTATGTTAATACATTTCTTGTATGCCAAAGATAAAGAAATAATATCCATCAATTCCAAACAGTTGGTGATACAGGATTTATTCCTAACAAATTCAACAACAAATAACAAATTCATGGCGTTGTTCTACAATAAGACAACTTAGGTCGTTGTATAAATGATTTAAAATTGTGTCCTAGATGATTTGTTCTGAGACAGCGAAACTGGACAATAGTTAGCAGAGTTTAATAGACTTTTGGTTTTGTACAAGGAATTTCCTATGGGTTTAAAATTCCCAAAATTGAATGACCTTTTTTTTTTTTTTTTTTTCAAAGTAATAGGACAATTTCAATTAAAATTCCCAATATTTTGTTGAACAATAATAATAAATTTTCCCAATATTGCAAATATTATATATAAACATATAAATATATACATATATATACATATATATATATATATATATATATATATATATATATATATATATCCACAAATAAAAATGAGAATCGTTAGAAAATGATGAGGGAAAACAAAGAATAATAAATGAAAAGGTTGCTGACCCATACCAAACCCTCAGTCGATGTAGCCGCACTCCACTGCAAGTCAGGCTATTTGTCAGTCGATGTATGTACTGAAACCCCCGACAGCAGGCTATTTCAGTATGACATCATCATGCTCACCTAACTCAGCAGTATAAGATATATATATATATATGTGTATATATATGTGTATATATATATATATATATATATATATATATGCATATATATATATATATATGCATATATATATATATATATATGCATATATATATATATATATATATGTATATATGCATATATATATATATATATATATATATATATATATATATATATATATATATATATATATATATATATATATATATATATATATATATGTATATATGTATATATGTATATATGTGTGTATATATATATATATACATACATACATACATACATACATACATACATACATACATACATACATACATACATATATACACACATACATACATACATATATATATATATATATATATATATATATATATATATATATATATATATATATATATATATATATATATATATATATATATATACATATATATATATATATATATATATATATATATATATATATATATATATATATATATATATATATATACACTTATTTCAAACATACATATTTATGATAATCACTGTGTAATTAGATTAATAAAAGTTAAAAGTAAATACACTCCGTTGTTTAACTAAATAAGTTTTTATGTATCTATATTTAGTAATTAATTTTTTTAAATACATAATGTCAAAATTGTTGCAATGTTTTTAAAACTTAAATTTTTGAAAAAAATAAATTTGTTTTAGTCTTGGAATTAATGAAGAAGTACGGCACCAGGTACTTCTATGCTAAAGATACTCGGTGTATCCGGTTGACTATTTATGTTGTTTGGCTAATGCTTTTATGCTTTTCTCGTAAGAATGTTCTTGAAAGTATTTGTTGACGATGTGTTTACAGTTGCGAACTGTAAAGAATTCCAATCATTTACAACGCGGTTTGTGAAATAATGGAATCATTCAGCATAGTAGTGTGAAATAGCAGGCATTTTTATTTGTGGACTGAGGAAGTCAACTTTTTTGAAGCCATTTATCATTTTATGTTGTATAAGATCTCTACTTTTTCTTTTGGTTTTATGAAGTAGTTAGTCCAAGGGTGTTGAGTTTTTCTTTCTAAGAAAGATGCTTGAGCTCAGTAATTACTTTAGTTCCTCTGTACTGGATTTTTTTTAGTTTTTTTATGTCTCGTTTGAGATAAAGTGGCACTTAGATAGTAAATTCTAAGTGGTGCTAAGATAGCAAATTTTAAGGTCTAACATAAGTAGTATAGAGCACTTTTCAAAGCAGCATACCTCTGCTTCTAAACAACTTTTTGAGCTTTCCAAGCATTATGTTTGCTTTTGAGGCTGCTAAAGCAACCTGTTGTTTGACTTTGAGGTTGTCTGAAACAACCACACCAAGATCATGTTCGGCAGTTGTGATTAGTAGTTGGTGGTATGTATTATCATTTTTTTTTATTGTGTAGTTGTGTGCAGATTAATTTCTTTTTTGTCTACATGTATCACTTTACACTTGTCTGTGTTATATAGCAAGAGCCGTTTTTTTGACCAGTCTACTGTTTTGTTGATGTCATTTTGCATAAAAGCAGTGTCTTACTTAATTTGATAACTCCCATAATTTTACAATCATCAGCGTATATTTTGATGTGGTTAGTGATATTATCAAGGAGATTATTAATAAAGATGGCAAATAATAGTGGGCCAAGAACTGAACCTTGTGGTACCCTGCTTTTAACACTCTTCAATTTAGATTCATGGTAATCAATTATCATTCGCCGTGGTTTATTGGTGAGTCATTGTTCAATCCAATTAATTAGTGACCCACCAATGTTGTATGCTTTGATTTTATACAGGAGTCAACCATGTGATTTTACAAAAGCCTTTATCAAAGGCTTTAGTAAAGTCAGTGTAAATTATGTCAATAGCATTGCCTTGATGATAAGCAAGAGATATCTTAACTTTCAGTTAAGATATCTCTTGCTTCTAGGAAATTTGTGATGCTTCTTTTGTTCATGAAACCATAATGCAGAATTTTATAATTTGATTGTGTATCATGCTTTTGAGGGTAGTGATGTAATGTAACAGGATGGTAGTTCAATATATTTTTGTATAATATATTTCAAATATATTTCAATATAGTTCAAATATATATTTCATTATATTCAAATATATTTCATTATATTCAAATATATTTCATTATATTCAAATATATTTCATTATATTCAAATATATTTCATTCATATTTCAAATATAGTTCAAATATATTTCAATATAGTTCAAATATATTTTTGTTCTGGACCCTTTTTTGAAAAATGGCGTAACGTTTGATGTTCTCCAGAGGTCTGGAACAATGCTTTCTTTTAGCGGTTTATGGTAAACTTATGTAAGAGGTGTAGTGAAAGCAGTTACACAATTTTAGGACTCTGGTAAAGTCCATTAAAACCCATTGGTTTTTTAAAAAATAGCACTTTATTTTTTGTATATGTTGTATATATGAGCTTTTATTTTTTTTAATGAAAATTGTTTATTTTTTAAATTAAGTAGTAAAAGTTTTAAAACAATTTACAGAACTTATAATGACATCAAACTATCGATCATTGTTTAGTTTCCATACCTGAACAAAAAGTGATATAGAATAAAACTAACAATCTAAATAAATATTTATGTTTATATATTCAAGCTAGATATAAATACTTTAATAGTTTTTTTGATACAAATTTAGCATTTTTCTTTTCACTTAAAAAATCTAGTTTTCTTCAATTTGTACTTGGCTTTATTTTAGTTTTATTTCAATTTTATTTCTAGTTTTCTTCAACTTGAACTAAAGCCACTGCATTAAGAAACAGGTTTCTTAAACCAAGTAAGAAAGAGGTTGTCTTAAGCCAAATAAGAAACAGGTTGCCACAGATTGCTAAGGCTTAAGACAACTGCTTCAACTGCTTAAATGGAAGTTATACTGCTAGGACTAAAAACTTACATCAACTCTTATCCAGATTTATTTGTTTTTCAGTCACAGTTACACAACTAGCATCTTAGTAAATCATATCCATGTCTAGTATATACCACACCAAATGTATGGCACAATAAATAAACAACAGAAAAAGATTACCATTATTTCTATGTAGATAATGTTCAATCTTTAGTAGCCATGGTATATTTTACTTGATTAATTACTATATTTTTCAAACTGCCTAAAAGAGCGTACACCTAATTGCTTTATCACAATGACCAATAGTGTGCCATCGATTTTTCCTATTATATTATAAATTTGATCATTTATTTCTCATTTTATGCAGTAACATACAAAAGTAACTGGACATGAGCATATATAGATTTTATACAGTAACATACAAAAGTAACCAGACAAATATAAAGATTTTAAGCGAAACTATTTCTCTCAAATTTTCACCGAAATGTTAAAAAATTGATTTCATAATTAAAAACTAAAAATTTTTTTACTAAATTTTAACAATTTAATCTTCAAGGTTCATATTTTTTTGAAATATGTTTGTGCAAAAAGAATCTAGACAAAAAATATAAAGCAAATATTAAAAAATATATATAAAAATATTAAGTTATATTTATAAATTTTATATTCATTCTTTTTTTGTTGTTGATTTTTTTAATTTAAAATTAAAATTCTAGACTAAAAATAAATACTTTTTGAGAGCTTTAGTAGAGTTTTAAAAGTCAAAAAAAACGTTTTTAAATAACAAACTTTTAATGAATCATACAGTTTTCCATTTTTTTGTATTTTTCATCCTACTTTATTATAACATTCTTATTACTCATTTTTATTTTAATTACTTTATTTAGTATTATCTAAGTTTGACTTTTTTCTTTCTTTTTTCTTTTTATTACTTCTATTATCATTTCTTTCTATTATCATTTAAATAAACCAAATTGCTTTTTGATATTTTTGTTGTTTTTGATAAAAAAACAATTTTTGACCATTCCATATGAATTTTGTGCTAATTTAATAATTTTAACTTTCCACTCTTTGGATATATTTATATTTATTATTATAAAAGTTCCAAAATTATTTTTGGCTGTGTCATTTTTTCCAAAAGTAGGAAACCATTGATTGTTGGTTGGCTCTTTTTTTAAGCGCTGTATCCAAATTTAAATACTCAAATTTAAAAGAAAACTTGATCAAAAACTGAAGAAAAGTAGAAAAGCCAATGTGAAAGCCAGTGAACATATTCATTTTTAAATAGTTTGTTATGTTTTTAATAAAGTTTAAAATGTTTGAATCATAATAAAAAATTACAAAAAAGTTTTATATTATTTTATATTACTAATATATTACTTATTACTTTGTATTACTTTTTATATTACTTTTTTCTTTTATCACCAAAACTTTTGACTAGTCTTCACATTTACACGCTCAATTGTCAAATTTTCAGAAATTTTCAATGGGATTCATGTCAGGGTCTTGTGCAAGCCATTCCATTACAGTGATATTCTTATTCTTGAAACATTGTTTTGTGGTAAAAAAAAATCTATTTTAGAGGCATTTTCCGTTAGAGAGAGACACTAGAGACCACCAGAAACTAATTTCTTGTGATGGTAAAGGTCCCCGAACTGTACGTTCCATGCTTAAATCTCTTGTTATATTTAGTGTTGTATCTGATGTTTTTTGATCTCCAAACTCACTTCTTGTCATTTATTATATATTTCATATATGCCATATAAAATATATATTTATAACAATTGAATCTAGAATATATCTTTTCACTAGTCAACAACTTTGGCGTGCTTTTGCAAGTCATACTTTTAATATTCTAACTCAATTTTTCATTTAATTGATATATGTGAATAAATGTATATGTATTTACATGAGGTAATGTTGTAGCGTAAATTTATTGCTTGTGAACACCAATAGAAAAATTTAAGAATAGGGTCAGATATTTTTTTTAAATTAGGGGATATTTGATGCACCTTAATATATACATATATCATATGTATTGACATTTAGTTGTTAAAAATATATTATTTAAATATTATCAATTTTGTGAAATAATTTTAAGAAATTTGAAGTTTCTTTAAATAACATTTCACTGCTTCAGGTTGAATATTTCATATTTCTTTTTGAGTTCTAAAGTTGCCTCATTTTTCAATATTAAATAGTTTTTTTTTTAATTTTTTTTTTTGTTTTTTGTTTTTTTGTTTAAGTAAAAAAAACAAAAGTATAATTGTATATTTAGAATGGAGAACATTGCAACGTTGTTATTGCTTTGTATACTCCAAAAGGCAATGAAGAAGGTGAGTTTCAAGCCAATGTCATTACTGGAGATTTTGATGCAGATGTTATGTGTGAAGATAAAAACAATACATTGCAGGTTGCTTATAATTTACTGGACAACACAATAGAAAATGTTAATGTTAACACTCCAGATAAAGAATCTATGTCTGCCCTCCAATATGAATCAAAGCCCTCAGAAACTGAAATACATCCTACTTCCCCTGGACTCATAATATTACCAAATTTATTTGCAGCTGAAACACAAGCTGTTAAGTCTGGACCTGAAATTTCTGCTTCAGAAGGTTTTAAATCTTTAAGTTTTTTTTTTAATTTAATTTAATTTTATATTTGTTTATATTAATACAATTTTATAAATTTGCTCATAATTATATAATTGCTATTTTATATAATTTTTTTTTTTTAAGCTTTTTTAAATTTTATGAATTATTTTTTTAAAATTGTCTGATATTAAGGTCCATTTTTCTTATATTACTAAATCTTGTATGTTATCCCAGAAGTTCAGGTTTATTATCAAAGACAAGTCTAACATTCCATCTCTTATTACTAAATCTTGTATGTTATCTCAGAAGTTTAGGTTTATTATCAAAGACAAGTCTAACATTCCATCTCTTATACAACTTATTTCTTCTTCTAAAGATAAGACAGAAGTATTTGCAAAACACTTTTAATTTTTTTTTTTTTTTCTATTCAATACTGTTCACCAAGTTCAGAATTAATACTCTTTAAACTATTTAATAAGTAGATAACTGAATCTTATTTTTCAGTATGCTGGAAATTTATGTGTGTGGTTCTAATTTCTTTAAATTTAGATGTTTGTCTGGCTCCTAACTATGTTTCAATCAATCTTTGTACTATTTTTAGCAAAGGTCTTTAATTAACAAGCTTCTTAAATTTCATTATAAGAATGGGGACAATCAATATGTATTTTGATACCTCTTATTCTACTGTTAATTTTTATTACAGAAAGGTCTTGTGCTTTAGTTAGAAGCAGAGAGGCAAGGGCTTTTGCTCTTGAAATATTAAAATCTTTCAATAAAGTCTGGCATGCTGATCCTCTCAAAAGCTTCATTTGGTGAATCTAGGAAAGTTTTTAAAATTATTGAATTTATAGACAAATCATTCCTTAGGGCTTGAAGTCACTAGTAAATTTCAACACCCTCCACATCTGCAAAAAAAAAAGAAGTTGATATTCTTATTTTTTTAAGTGGCAACACTCTTACTGAGTCCTCTGCTTTATTTCATCTTGGATTATATTTTACTACTTTCTCATGAAAAGCACAATGTTGTAATACTAAAATCTGCTTGGTTGCCTCTTTAAAAAATCTGCCATTGTTGCTGCTCAAGTGAGTTTTCATTATTTTTTTAACCAATATTCAATCTTGCATCTCATCATTTAGCATTTTTATCCCTTTATTGTAATTGTTCTTTCACTCTTAATAAACTTTTATTTATCTAGGCTTTTTTCAAAAAAAAAATACTTCGAAATTTGTCCTCGCTATTAAGTTTTCCTGGCTTACACAGTTTATCTTTGATTTTATAACCTCAACTCAAAGAAAATTCATTTATTTTTATATAAAATCAGAAAAGTTTCATATTTTTGTTCGTAGTAAGAAATAACAATTGTATTTTGAAGTGACAAAAACAGTAAAAAATCACTCAAAATACTGAAATGAATAGATTTTCTAGATTTATAAGCGTACTGTAAATCACTTTTACAAAGTAAATTTAGTCTTCCATCTTGTTTTCATTATACTGTTTTGATAACAATATTTTAAGTCCATTATATCTTAATAAAAGCGCCACCTGAATAAATTCCCATTTTCTCCTTGAATTTATTGAAATGAGTGTCAATGATATAGATTTTAAGTGACATTCTGCATCTCATTTTGGGGTAATTATTTATAAGAATCTTAACCACCTTGATAAAGTTTTAAACTTTGTGAATACCAAGGAATCCATGAACAACAGCAGTTGTTCATGGGTCACAGTTGTTCATGGGTGTTAAGTCGCTTTCTTTAAGATCTTTGCAAACTTTTGCAAATCTTTGTCATATTTTTGAAACTTAATCTTTAGCTTTGCGAAGATTTGAATTGTCAAGAATAGTGACAATTTTCTTAATGAGGCCTTACTTGATGTGCGATTGTGGCGTAAGCATTTTTCTGAGGTTCTATCAGTGGATCCAGTGTAATGCGGCTATCTTTTTTGTAAAAATACACTTAGTGTCATGATTGTCATATAAGCAAAGGACACACTGAATTTTGTGAAACCATCTTGAAGGCCCATGAGTAATGAGGCCATTTTGAAGTCTTTAATAAAAACTCATAATTAGTAATTATATTTCAAGGTACTCAGCAATTTCTTGACACTAATGTAGTCCTTATACCAAAAAAGAATGCTCCTAATATAGCCAGATGTGCTAAAGTATGTTTGGTAGGCCTCGCACATCTAATGACTTGCTTCCACAGACCCCTATTTTTTTATTTGTTTTTAGCAATACCAGTTAGAAATCATACTTTTATCTCTAGGACAAAACAAAAATAAAAATATTATTACATAGTGTAATCTTAGCTAGCTTTTGATAAAACATTTATTTATTATTGAAGATTAAATTATTTATAATGATAGTCATGATGCATTTTTGTTTTTTTATATATACAGAATATAGATTGGCTCGCAGTGCAATAGAAACACACAATATTCTGAGAAAAATCCATGGTGTACCTTATCTTCAATTAGATAATGACATGAATAAAGCTGCTGCTAGCTACGCGTACAAGATTGCTTCTAAAAAATCACTGGAGCATGCTTCACCAGAAGAGAGACAAAATGATGGTGAGAACTTGGCTTATCGATGTTCTACAGAACCAGATGATTTTCAAGCTGTTCTACCTATCAAAGATTGGTATATTTTTATATTAGTTTCTTTAGCATCTGTCGAAAATGCTGTAAAAATTAAACTAGGTAACTATTTTGTAGCAGTATTCTTTTTGATGGTTTTTGATATTGGTTGTTAACTTTATAGTTTGAAACATACTTAACATTATTCCCAGTGGGCGCAAGACATGTTCAAAATACCTTTAAAATACCTTTGTTTAAAATACGTTTTGAAATGTATTAATATGTTTTTTAGACGTTTAAAACAAAATTCTTGTGCCCACTGGGTTGACTTAACATGTGCAGCAAATTTTTTTGACAAAAAACTTGTTTGTTAAAAAAATTTTTGTTTCCTCTTTTTACTTTTGATATTAATTTTAGCAATATTTATTCAAACCATTTTATGAAATACAGTTTTTTTATTAAGTGTGGTTGCACAATTCAATCAAATAATTTATTTTGATCCCACATTTGGTAGCAACACATGTAAATTTCTCTTTCATTTTTTTAAAATCTCTTTTTCGTTTCTTTTAAATCTCTTTTTCATTTTCTAATAACTATAAAAAGTCAGTTGATTAGAACTATAATATAGATAAAACTATAATTAAAACTTATTCAGTTTTGTTTTATCAATAAATTTAATACTAAAATTCTTATAACAGCACCAATAGAATATTCCTCTAATGATGCTCTTTTTCTTTTAGACATGGTCCAAAAACACACTGTAAACGTAGTTGGACCTGCTTTTTCTGCCAAACCTGAGCCTCTCTCCCATTGTCATAAAGTTGCATCTCTTTCTCTTTTTTACAAATACTATCATTGTTGATATAATTTGTAGAAAAAGAAAAGAGATGCAACTTTACAATAGAGATGATAGCAACTCAAAGGAGCTATTATCTCCAACAACCAGAGTTCCATTTTAGTTCCATCAACCAAAACTCATTCTTGCTTAACTCGTCAATCAGCGAAGTCACATTCTTTTACTGTATCTGTCTCTGGATGCTCTAAAAACTTTTATCTATCTAGTGTTTTTTCCCGCACTTTAACCCTTTGGAACTCTCTCCCATCTTCATGATTTTTTGACTCATACATCCTACAACTTTTCAAGTCTTTCAACTGTTTCCTCTATTATTTTTCTCTTTAACTCTTTGTTTACTAGTAATTCCCAACTTAATTGTTGGTTGCTTGGTTACTTGGTTGCATGCAGTCTTGTTGGGAGTGAATTAGAATTTAATAGTGGTTAAATTATGAACTTAATTAATATTAATAATGTAAAATAATGGTAATCAGAACTATAATATAATATGAAATAATGGTAAATTAGAACTTAATAGCGGTTGCTTCCAATGGATGAAACTAAAACATGTTTATTAATTTTTTTTTGTTTGTTTGTTTTATAAAATTTTATGTTTTTGCATTCATATCAAAGTATTTTTAGTTTGTTGTTGCTTCAAAGCTAAGATTATTATGTTGTTGTATGTTCTCTAATTTATTATGTTGTTGAATATTAGTATGATAATATATGTAAAATATTAGTATGTTCTCTAATTTTTCAGAATATATTTATTTATTGCATCTATTCATGTTTTTGATAGAAAAAGTTAGTGTCATAAATAATTTTTACATTATCACAAGTCCATGAATCTGGGTTAAAGAGTTTTAGTTGCTGAATAGAATTTCTTTGAAAAGAGGAGAGTGGAATTAATTCTATTAAGATATTAGTTATCCGGTAATTCTATTAAGAAATTAATAAAAATAAAAAAATTCATATTTTTTTATTTTTATTAATTTCTTAATAGAATTACCGGATAACTGATTTTGAAACACTATACAAGCTCAGAATAGGCAGAGATATGCACATTCTGATTTGCTGATTTTGAAAGTATGTTTAATTCAAAACAAATATCTAAAAACATATTCAATAATGAAATTGAAATTGAGTAATTGCATAAAAACCAAATAATCATTCAGAAAAAGTAAAATTTTTCTATTTTGTACAATATATAGTACTTTACTTTTACAAAACTTTGCAACTCAAAACATCTGTGATTGTCATAATATTTTCATAAAAATAAAGATTTAAAAAAATCAGTTTGTTTTTCTAATGGTTTTTATAACTCTAAGTTATAAAAAAGACAACTATTGTAACAAACTATAAACCAGATGGTAAAACTTGACTATGCTGTGAGTCTCATACAATAGATTTTTCAAAACGGTTTTAAAATTTACCTAATAATATTAATAGAATATTATTCACTTGGTATAATTTTGTTCAAAATAAGTTCCCATTAATCCTGTCATTTAGCAACAAAAAAACAAAATTGGAAAAAATTAATTTAATTTTCTTTCAGAATTTCACACTTATTACTCCCATATATAAATTATATCACTAAATTATTTTAAGTATGAGAATAATGCTTAATGGTTATTATAGATAGCTGAGATAATTTGCAACATTCTCAAATTAAAAGCAGTTATAAGCAAGAGCTAATATAGATTGCCTTTGGTAATATATTCTAATATAAAGATTACAAAACATTGCAGCATAATATGCTGTAAGAGAAAAATCTTTAACCTGATTTCCACAAGTTTTGATATAGTAAACTGATTACCAAAAGGAATAACTCTCAACTTCCCAAAAAAAAAGGTTAAAAAAAGTTGCAATCATTCAAGTAGTAAATGACTGTAGTTTTTTGTGACCAGGGCTGCATAAACATTTATACATCCTAAAGTACTTTTTTTTTTCAAAATTTATGTTTGATTTTGTATATATTTGCATTTATTATATTATTCATCACTATATTGTTACATCGGTCACATATATATATTGTTACCCCGGTCACTTACTACATACAAGTGCATGTTGTTGTTTATTTCAATTTCAAAAGTCAATACATGTAAAGCACATGTTTGTTGATATATAGCTTTTAACCTAAACAAAATATTGTTTATTGTATTCTATAATTGGTAAAAAATGTTTACCCTTTATTAGCAACTGATGGTAAATAATATTAAATAAAGCAACATACTTTGATAAATTTTATATTTATTATGCTGATTATTTATTTCACATTATATGCTCCTGAAGAAAAAAAATGTCTGCTCTAGAAAAATGAAAAAAAACTTATAATGTATTTCGTATTTCCAAATTTTATGAGTATTTTCATTGCGTTATGTTTTGGTATAAACAATAAAATCGAGTGTGGTTTTTTTGAATTTTTGTGAATTTCTTGTATAATAATATTAAAATAGAGATGTGTAATGTTTTATTTTAAGTAAAATTAATAAATTTTTTTGAAAACTTGCTTCTTCAAATGTAAAAGCTTGTTTTGATGAAGTTTTTTCAATTGCAATAATTGCCATAATTCATCATTATTTGGTTAAATATTTTGACTTCAATACTCTTTTTTAGCTTATAAAAGCTTATAATATAGCTTATAAAAGTGTTTAAAGGTTTAAGGATGATGTTTTATTAAAGTTAAGTAAAGAAAAATATTGACGTACTGCTTATCAGTCATCTCAAAAAAAGGTCAAACAGCAAATTCTTAAGTGTTCGTACATTTACACGGAACATGTAAACTAGTTTTGTAAAACATCTGTAAAAATTTTCTTTTTCCAAAAAATTAAATGTTAAATTCTTTATAATTAACAAGTTGGTATAAAGATGCAGTAACAACATCTGCCTCAGCTTAAAATTTACACTTTGCATACTTTTAGTACTTTACCTGTAGTCTGGTGCAACTGCATATAAACTTTGTATCGAGCATGTTTTATAGAACATAGACATTAAATTTGATGAGAAAACATTTTAAAATCTTGCAAAATTGCACACATGCAAATTCAAATTAAATATTTAAAGAGTTTATTATTAAAAAAATAGTCATAGTTTAACAATAACAACTTTGTTCTTTTTTTTTTTTTGATAATTTTATTGTCCTTTCTTCATTATTATTATTATTTTTTCTTTCATTAAAACGTTCATATTTAACCACTTAGTTTGGTTAAAATATTTGACTTCAATACTTTTTCTTGCTTTTAATGTCTGTGTTTATATGTAACTGTACAAAATATTATAGTAGACAAACATATAAATTTCACTTCTTTTGTTAAATTTTCAAATAAATTATTAATATCTAATAGTCATTGTTTATATATAAGGTAATGTAGCTTGCCAAACTTTTTCTATGTTTTTATAAAGTATTCAATGGTTTAAGATGATGTTTTGTAATAAAAAAATATATCAGTCTTCTCTTAACTATGGTTGAAGCAAAACACAAATACAAAATCTCCTCAGAGCTCATATATTGACATGGAACATGTAAGCTAGTTTTGCAATCAGTACAAATTTTGTTTATTTTAAAACTCTAATGTTCAAGTCATTATAATTAACATATTAGTCAATTTTATAAATAAAGTTCTTCAACAGTAGTCTGGTAAAACTGTATGTAATCTTTGTATGCAAAAGTACTTCACCAGTAATCTTGTGCAACTGTATATAAACTTTGTATTTGAGTATGCTTCAAGGCTTTTTTTCCATTTCTTTAAATTAACAACAGATAAAATTTCCATCACCATAATAAACTTTATTGAAATTTTGAGATTTTTACTAGTGAAAACTCTCTTGTACAGGTTTTGTTACTTTTTAAATACTCTAAAGAGTACTAAAATAAATTGAATTTCCTGTAACGCAGTAAGATAGTAACGCAAGACTTGTATTGATAAACTTAGTTTATCATTACTTTGAAATTTATTTCCAAAATCAGGTTGTTTTGATTTTAATTGAATTGGTGAATCTTAAAAGGGCGGAAGTCCAACAATGTAAACTTTTTAGGAAACTAAAAAAAACTGCATTTTTTCTTCAGTAATTTTTTGTTAATGGTTTAACAATTTTTTTTTTGAAAGGTATAATATTTTTCATCTTAAAAGCAAATATATATTTTTTTATATTTATTTTTTAAAGAACCTATAAACCAATTAACACTGTTGACTTCAGTCCTTTTAACATTTAACAAGTAGTTAATGCTTATTTTATTATGATATTTATTTTGGGCTATAGAAAATAATGTCATAAACTGCAATAAATCTTCACAAAGTGTATATTTATAAATTGTTTATACATTTTAACAAAAAATATAAGGAAAAAATGGTCTATTACAGAATTTTTATCAGGTAAGCTTAATCATTTTCCCCGACATTTTCTGCTTCTCCATCGTTGTTTTCTGCTGTAGCCCATCACAATAGTTTATTATAAAAGTCATTATGATCATGTAGGAACTTAATACACTTTCTTAAGTCATTCAATTAAGCAGATTTTATTGGAACCTTTCCATTTGGGTATAAAAGCTGTTCTGGCAGGTTCACTTTGTTTTGAGTATTTTTTCTTATCATAAAAGTATGTTTGACACTACCATTGATAATTTCACTGGCTTTACATCGACCTATGTTGTCTCAATCGTATTGAAAATTGTAAAACTTGCTTATTTTTGTTGTTGCTTATATTACTTGTTTTCATTGTAAACTAGAGATGAACTCTCTACATCAACCACTAAAAACTTTCTTTGATTACTACTTTTTTTTTTTTTTTTTTTTTTTTTTTTGCGTTGTACACTCTGTCATGCCTTCTTAACTCTCTTTTTATAATCGAAAAGTCATGGTCACAGGGCAAAAAGCTGTGCCCTCATTGAAAAAAATTGATTGATCTTTTTAACCCATTTATTGTCAGTAAGCGCCATGAAAGGTTTTGAAAAGCAATGGTTATTGTTTTGCCCCCAACAATTATTTGCATAAAAGTTGAGTTCATCATACTCTTAAAGACAGGTAGACAGGTAGTGCAAAATTAGGAAGCAAGTTTCATTTGGCAATTTTCTATCCCCTCGTGATAAAGTTAGATTGTTGCAACATTTCTCTTCACATCATAAATAGAAAATAAACTAACCAACAACTGCCGTAGGTAAAATACCTCTTGCATAGATATTTTGGGCACTGAAATGTTTTGCATATAACCTACTGCTAGGGAAAAAAAGTTTGGGCACTGAAATGTTTTGCATATAACCTACTGCTAGGGAAAAAACGTTTACATTTTTTTCTTCTCTAGCATCCTGTACATCTTGTTTAAGGCTTGGTAAAATTTTTTGTGTGTCTGTTATGTACTGCCAACTCAGTTACTGCTGTTTGCTTTGCAACTTTATTACAGTAAGGTGATTTTATCTTTAGATTTAACTTTTCGCATATGCAACAGGTGTCTACTTGATGTTTCCCAAAACATAAATGAAAGTGCTCTTTGTAGTAGTTATAATAAGATTTGTAACTGAACTTTACCCATTCATTTTTTTTCATGAATAGTTCATACATTATTTTCACATTCAAATCTTCACTCAAAAAATACCTTTCCTTTCCGCAATAGTGGATCATTTTTTTTCTAGAAGCAATAGATCAGTTGTTCAACGCCACCTCTGGGCAAGTTTTATAATATCGGTAAGGAGGGTTTCCTTTCAAATGCTCATCAGCGGTGCTCTGTAATATGACCGTTGGGACTTTAGGAGGCTCCTAAAATAAAAAAAAGAAGATTTGCTATGACTCTTGCCTCTCTTGATAATTTTCATATTATACATTTTTCTGCTTGTAAGCATATACTTTAGCTAGTATATCATGTCAATCTGGGTTTCTTATCTTTTTTTTATAACTTGTATGACCACTATCACCCATTACAAACTACCACTATCACCCATTTAAAAAAGTAGTTAATCAACTTAAATCACTATTAAAATGAGAAGATGTAATAAATCAACTTTATTCACCATGCTGTTGTACAATCAAAACAAGAAGTGGTTACATTTGGTTCGCTATCCTCAGCGCAAAGTTTCTTGTTTTTTGTTAAAAGAGCTAAAGTCCGGACTTCAGCCCTTTTAACAAAAAACCAAAACTTTTAGACACTGAACAGGCTAAAGAAAACCTTTGACAGACACCTTTTTAAAACAAAATGATGGAGCTATCCTTTGAATATACAAATTTGCAAAAAAAAAGTCAATTTTGAAAAATATGTGACTTCCGCCCTTTTAACATTCACCGATTCAATTATACTTTTCAACAAAGGCACACTTGCTTCTCTTTCAAAATTGCTCATATTTCTGCCTATTCTGAGCCTTTATAGGGTTTCAAAATATGCTACCGGATATATACCTGCACAGACAAAACAAACAAAAAACCTTTATGCATGTGCATTGAAAATGTATTTTTAATAAGCCATTTCGTCCCCTCAGTATTATCTTGTTCTATCTACAAATGTAATAAATAAAATATTCTATCTAATTTATAGTAATAGATTGGGGTTCACAGTGGCTTGTGAATTTCAACTCTAAAAAAACCCAGTTGCTTACTGCAAACAACTACCGTAATATGGTCAACATTCCTATATTAATGAATGGCAATCCTCTTACTTAGTCGTCCTCTTTACGTTTTCTTGGATTATCGCTTACTACTGACCTTTCATGGAAACCATATATACAATCGATTGCTAAATTAGCTTCTGCTAAGGTTGCTTCTCTTTATCGTGCTCGCCATTTTCTTACTTCTGATTCCATTCTCTACCTCTACAAATCTCTTATTCGTCCCTGTATGGAATACTGTTGTCATATTTGGGCTGGTTCTTCTAATGATTCACTTTCTCTTCTTGACAAGGTCCAAAAACATATTGTAAATGTTGTTGAACCTGGACTATCTGCTAAGCTTGAACCTCTTTCCCATCGTCGTAAAGTTGCATCTCTTTCTCTTTTCTACAGATACTATCATGGTCACTGCTCAAAGGAGTTATCATCTCTAGTTCCATCAACTAAAATTCATTCTCGTTTTACTCGTCATTCAGCTAAGTATCATTCGTTTACTGTATCTGTCCCTGCATGCTCTAAAAACTTTTATTCATCTAGTTTTTTTCCCCGCACTTCAATCCTTTGGAACTCTCTCCCATCTTCATGTTTTCCTGACTCATACAACCTTCAACTTTTTAAGTCTTCTGTCAACCGTTTCCTTGCTCTATAACTCTGTTCTTTTTTTTCCTAGTAACTCCCAACTTGATAGTGGTTGCTTGCAGTCTTGATGGGAGTGAATGCAAATAAAAAAAAAAAAAAAAAATTGTAAAATAAACACACACAAAAAATTATATATAAATAAATACAATGTTCTATGTAACATAATATAATATATTATATCAAGTAGACATTGTATTTATTTATGTATATTTTTTGTATTTATTTTATATATATCAGATAGAACATTTTATTACATTTGTAGATAGAACAATATATTACTGAGGAGATGATTTGTGATTAGTAATATTACGATAATATTACAATTTTTTATTAGTAATATTAAAAAAATCCATTATTTTGTTTGTTTTTTATTTTTTTGTCCTCAGGTATAATGAAGTATGTCAATCTAAGTATTCCTTTGATGAAAGCAACGATTTGTCAATAGTTTCTCATTTTACACAAATGATTTGGAAAAATTCAGTTAAGTTTGGTTTTGGTTTCGCTACAACAAAGTTTGGTGAAATGACATGTCATTATTATGTGGCTAGATATCGTCCTGCTGGTAATATTATTGGTGAATACATCTCTAATGTCTTAAAAGGTAAGTTAAAATCATTTATTAATTAAAAGAAAGTTTTATTACTTATTAGAGAAAACATGTTTTTAAACTCCAAATCTTCACATTAAAGTTCTCATGTGACGTGTCTTCTTTTATAATCTTACTTTTTATTCAGTCTTCATCATGTAGTCAGAATTTAGTATTTAATTAAAAATCCTACCAGTATGGTATCTTATCCATCAAAAACCTAATGATTGTTTGGTAGTTAAGGTGTTATTGACAAAAAAACCTTTACGAAGTTAAAGCGATAAAACTTGTCACGAATTTATACTGATTTTTTTTTTAGCTGTAAATTTTTTAGTTCACGACTTAAATAATTATTTTAATATTTGGATAAATTATTATTTGCATTAGAAACGCGCTAAAATATTTAATATTTCTTTATAGGAAACTTCTCACCCTCTTTAACATGTGATAATCTAAACCAAATTCTTGGAATTACGATCTCAAAACGAAGCTTTAAGAATCGATTAAAAAAGAGATTGGTTAGAAAACCAAAACACGCTGTTCAACGAACGGAAATTTCTCGAAAAAGTAAAAGCTATTTTCTTCTTTATATATATATATATATATATATATATATATATATATATATATATATATATATATATATATATATATATATATATATATATATATATATATATATATATATATATATATATATATATATATATATATAACTCAACTCTATAACTCCGAAACACGAACCTTAACAAACAAGGCCGCTGCGCGGAGAAACGAGTTGAGCGCGGTACTACCAGAGACGTGATGCGGATATATATGTTTTATATGTTTATTATTAACTTCTAACTAGAGAGGAAGTAAATATTTGTTATATTTTCACACGCGCGTGTGTGTATGTGCATGTGTATGCATATATATGTATATGTGTATATATATATATATATATATATATATATATATATATATATATATATATATATATATATATATATATATATATATATATATATATATATATATATATATATATATATATATATATATAGTTATTAATATTGATACTATCAATATTAATAACTATATATTGATATATATAGTTATTAATATTGATACTATCAAATATGAGAATGATTGTGATAGATTTAAAGGGCGCAACTTTATTGGGAAAATTACCGGTACCCTAATATTTTTATAATTACCGGTACCCTAATATTTTACCGGTACCCTAAAATTTTATAAAAAATTCGAAAATAATAATCGTTTTATAAAAATCATATTGCCGAAAAAAATTGTTATTAAAAAACATGTAAAAATGCACCTTTTTTACTTTAAGTTGAAAAACTATAGTTATTATGCAATAAAATCTAAAATAATAATTTTTATATGAAAAAATTATTATTTTTGAAATTTTTATAAAATTTCGCTTTATTTGAGTATCTACATCACATAATTTTAAAAAACTTTTTTTTTGAATAATAATAGGGCCTGCTAATTTTTGTAATTATAGTTGCGGGTGGAATACATTGTTCAATCCATAAAAGTAAATACTTTCCTAAATTAGTACATAAAAAAACAACTTTCTAGACCATAGCCAGGTTAGCAACCCCAAAAAAAAATTTTATGACCCAATAAATAATAATTTTATGAAATTTTATATATGTGTATATATATATATATATATATATATATATATATATATATATATATATATATATATATACACACATATATATATATATCCTATTACAGTCAAAAAATAATGTAGAAATTATAAAAATTAAAATGCTTTTTATTTTTAGTTGGCAATGGATGTTAATAATAAAAATGGATTGGTTGAGTCTATGTTCATAATGAAAGTGGGTTGGTTGAATTAAAATGAAAATAGCTGTATTCGAATAAAAACTTTAAAAAAGAAACATACAGTTTGAAGATTTTGCTTTTTTCACGTTTTTAAAAACGATAATCGTCAACTATTAAAAAAATAATTATTTTTCACTATTGGTAAATAATTACAAACACTTGTTTATATTTCAAATAAACAGATTTGACTTTAAAATGTGACCGCTGTGTTTTGATTTTTTTGTTTTCTTTTGTAGCACTTTTTTCAACGCTGTTACTCCTGTAGGTTCACTAACTTTGTGCCTATACAATTTGTAATAATTGTGCACTAATCATTTAATTTGCATGTAATAGTGCGCCAATTATGTTAATTGCTTTTAAACCGTTTTTCAACTATTATAGTAGAGAAGAGTGGGGAGAAGTGGGAATTCCAATTAGGAGAGGTCCCTAATCGATGTTATCTAATGTAAGCAATGAGATTTCTTTCCTATTTATATAGCAGGCATTGCTTGTCCTTCTGCGTGTGATAAAAACTACGTTTTTGTAAAGTACCCCAAAAAAAGAATTTTTGGTGGGGTAAAGTGGGGCAAAGAAAGTTAATTGATCTCCCGTTTTTCCCATATCACTTTTGTGTAATTATATTGTAGAGACTTTAGAGTATTAAGATGAAGATGACGTGGTTTACAGTTTTAATATTTTTTGTTAATATGTTGTTAATTGCTCGCTTGTCCCACTTCACACCATGCCTTTCTCACACTACCCCCAATGGCACGGTTCCTCTAAAATAAAATATATATATATATATTATATATATATATTATATCTTATGTATATATATATATATATATATATATATATATATATATATGTATATATATATATATATATATATATATATATATATATATATATATATATATATATATATATATATACATATATATCAATGATATATTATATAACTAGATGTCTAATTTAATTACGAAAAGTGAAGCCGATTTTTGCCCTTTTTACAAATGGCGGATTAAATTTGTAAACAAATATTTTATATATAAAATATTTGTTTACAAATTTCTTTTCCTTAATGAAGTAAATATATTTTAAATTTAAATACTATTTACGTAAAAGTGTTTATCGGAAATTATAATACTTTTAAAATGATAATTTATGATTCCTTAATTTATTTTCGATTAAAAATTTGAATAGAAAAGTAAAACGTCTTACTATTTTGAAGCATTTTTATGAATTAAAATGCTTTTTAATAAACATAGGTTCACAAAAAAACTTTTAAAACTATTCTATAATTGTTAAAAGGTGTTTTTGAATTATCTTTAATTTATTTGGAACTTTTGATATACATTTTTAACTTTAATTCTACACTTCGGCTTCAGCTTTTGCCCTTTTTACAAATGGCGGACTGTTGTTATAAACAAAAAAAGGCGGCTTCACTTTTTGTCCAATAAAATCCCGCAAGTTAGACATCTAGTTATATAATATACCATTGATATATACATATATATATATATATATATATATATATATATATATATATATATATATATATATATATATATATATATATATATATATATATATATATATATATATATATATATTTTATTTTTTTATAATTAAAAAATAAAATATAGAAGTTACAAGAAAATAACAAAAAAAAAAAAAAAAAATCGTAAATAAGAAATAAAAGAACGCGGGGACTCGTAGAAGACCGTAAGGTCTTGTCGTCGAGAACCGCTAAAATGAATGTGATACAAACAAATTAAAAATATTCCGAAAACCCGTTATAAATATAAAGATCAGTTATATAAATACAATATAAGTTAATAAACATATAAATTGTCGTATATATTGATACATATTCTTGGTAAATATATAAATTATAAAATATTAATAGTTCTTTGATAAGTGGAGGTAAAATGGGAAAACTATTAAAAATTATTAAAAGTAAATTGATAGATCGTCAATTGTAAAAATTAATTCTTTTAACTTTCGTTTAAAAGAGTTGTAGTTACATTGTTGGATAAAATCTTGAGAAAAGTTTTTTAAGACAATTTTGTTCCATAAGAATGGTCCGCGAGAAATAATGCAGAATTTGCTCAAGTTAGTTTGAAAAAATGGCTGCTTAATAAAATTGTTATTGCGTAAAAAGTTTTTATTTTAATCTTTTGACATATACAAATCATGGAAAGAAACTGGTGAAGAATTAGTTTTACATTTGAACATAAAACAAAGAGTATTATAAACATTGAGTTGATACATTTAAGGCGTTCATTTTTTTTAATAGAGGCTTTGCATGAGTAAGACGTTCACTAAAATGTATCAAACGTGATGCATGCTTCTGATGACGATAAAGAGGTTCAAGTTTGCTTTTATTGGTGCAAGCCCATGCAATGTTTGCATAATTTATATAGCTATGGATAAAAGAGAAATATAATTGAGTTAAAATTTTTTTATTTAAAAAGTTTCTTGCTTTATATAAAATTCCTAAACTTTTTGAAGTTTTGTTATATAAATTTTCAATATGATTTTTCCATGAAAGATTATCATCAATATAAACACCTAAGAATTTTGTAACGTTTACTCTAATTATTTCGATGTTATCAATAAAAAGGGATGGCATTTCATTAGGCAGTAGTTTTTTCTTAGAGGGCGGGTGAAAGAGAGTCCAGTTTGTTTTTTGAATATTAAGCGATAATTTATTTAATTTAAACCAGTAAGAAGTCTTGTTTAATTCTACATTCATAAGTTGAAACAGAGTAGTGATGTTAGTATGAGATAAGAATAAGTTTGTATCGTCTGCAAACATGATTGTTTTTAAACTGGATACTTTATAGAGATCGTTGATATATATAAGAAAAAGAAGAGGTCCAAGAATAGATCCTTGAGGAACACCACAAGTAGTTTCTAACAAACTTATTGGAGAAGAAGCGTCAATGGTTACAAATTGTTTGCGATTACTTAAATCAAGATTAGCTAATGCAATAGATGAGATATCAATTGTTTTCTTTATATTTGGTATATTTCTTGCTAAATTAGGTCCGATCGTGACAAAAAATTTGTTTAGTTCGATTGCTATTTCACGTGGATCATAAGAGATATCACCATTAATTTTAATGCCATTTTTCAGAGCGCATGATTTAATTTTTGTTTTACCGGTAATTTCTCTTAAAATTTGCCATGTGGGTTTTATATCACATTTGCATCGCATAAGTAAATCGGAATAGTATTTTTTTTTAAGATTCTTTCTAATTTTTTCAAATTCTCTCGCATATTTTTTGTAGTTGGTTTTACTTTCTATTGTTTTTTCTTTAAGGTATTGAATGTATAACTTTTGTTTGACTTTTGATGATTTTCTTAGGGTGTTTGTAATCCATGGTGATTTTACACTTTTGGTTTTTAAGTTTATTTCGCGTTTCGGAAAATTTACATCATATACCTCATAGAAAGATTTAAAAAATTGGTTGTAAGTAAAGTTTACGTAAAGTAAAGTTTATATATATATATATATATATATATATATATATATATATATATATATATATATATATATATATATATATATATATATATATATATATATATATATATATATATATATATATATATATATATATATATATATATATATATATATATAAAATTTAGACTCAACAAAACATTTTTTTTTTGCTCAGTTCTTAAAATCACCCCAAGAAATTTTTTATACAATGTTTGAAGACATTTTATTAAATTTAACTTAATTTGTTTCCGAATTACAAAAAACAAAATAATTACAAAAAATCTCATATTAGGTCTTTTTTTTTATAATAGCGCCATTTTAAAACACATTAAAATGTGTCTCATAAATTTAGACCTATTTTTTTAAAGATTGTAGTTCTAAACGTGGAATAAAATATAAATAGTGCACGCTAATCAAAATAAACCATTTTTACTTACTTAGTGTACGCGAATCAAAATATACCATTTTTACTTATTTGGATTTTAAATATTTAGAAAATGGGTAAAACATGAGTTTTAAAGGAAATTAAAGAAAGTATTATTACCTTACACCTTGCTGGTAGTTGTATAGGAAAAACTCAGTTGATTCTCAAGAACGTATCGCAGTCGCGTGTCACTAAAACAATAGCTAAGTGGAAAAAATACAGGTAGAACTTTAGATAAAATCAGATCCGGAAGACCCAGAAAAAACCACTACCACTGATGATAATTGTATATAGAGAATTGCCAGAAAAAATTATAAGTATAGTACCAAACAAATTGATTAAGAAATAAATCTAGCTTTTAAAAATGACATCTCAAGACAGACAGTAAATATAAGATGAATTGATCGTAAACTATGCTCGTATACTACTGTTAGAAAACCAATGCTTAAACAACCAGATAGACTCAAGCGGCTATAATTTTGCAAAAAAAATCTCAAGATGAGTGATAATGATATAAAAAAATATAGTATTTAGCGATGAATCGAATTATACAGTCGTTAATAGAAAAAATTGAGTAATAGTTTGAAGACACCATAATGAGAAGTTTATAATCGTTTCATTGCACCTCGGTTACAGGGTGGAGGAGGTTAGTTGGAACTTGGTGTTGTATCACATATGATGGACCCGGACTATGCTACTTGTACACTGGTAGAATGGACCAATACAGATACATTGAGACGCTTGAAAATAATTTGATTTTAACAAGAGACCTATTTTTTGGAGATGAGCCGGAATGGAAATTTCAGCAAGATAATGCCCCTTGGCACAAAACAAAAACAGTAACAGCTTGGTTTAAAGAAAACAAAGTCAATGTACTCCTGGGTCAGCTAGATTGCCAAATTTAAATCCAATAAAAAATGTATAGACTGTGCTAGACCGAAAACTGATCAAAGCTCCTGTAACTTCAGCTTAAGAACTAAGAAAAAGTTTAAAAGAGTTATATAATGGTTTATCCTTTGAATAATGTCGAAATCTTTTTGAATCTATCAAAAGAAGATGTAGACTTTGCATAGATAGCAAAGGTGGTATTACATACCATATTAACGTGACTTACAGTTTGAAGTAAAAAATCATGAGTCTATACTTATGATCAAGATTTTCGTAGATACCTTTTTACATAATTTTATTGTTTTCAAAATAAAATACTTTTAACTTATTTTTTTATTCTTGTCTTATATATATTAAAGAGAATTTCATAAATAATAAACTGTTTATAAATAA